CATAACACAATCTAATTGCAAAGGCATGGGATTTGTGAATTTGTCTCTTTCTGGACTCAGTACAAGGTGTTACATAATTCATATATGATGCATAAAGCTAATCTCGAAAAACATATACACCCTGTTCCAAATTATTATGCAAATTATGTTTTTCTCATTTACCTAAATAATTGATGTAAATAACAGTCAGCATAATTCTCATGTTATCAACTATTGAGTACAATTCAAATTTTATTGAACAAACCTCCTAATGATAACAGTATTTTTTTTAAACATAAAAAACTTACAATGCACTGTTCCAAATTATTACGCACAGTATGTTTCAAAACACTTTATAGGTTGTAAAGAACTGAAAATTGTAATTTGTTGTGTTTGCAGCATATTTACTGAAATCAAAAGCTATTTCAGTCAAACTTATAACAACATTTCATCTTTTTAAACATTTTAACAGGTCACGTTACATTTTAACATAGGACCCTTGTTTGATAGCAGCTTCACAAGTCTTGCATCCACTGTCCAGTGAGTTTTTTGGACAGTTTCTGCTTGCATTTGTTGGCAAGATGTCAGAATAGCCTCCCAGAGCTGCTGTTTGGATGTAAACTGCCTCCCACCCTCATAGATCGTTTGCTTGAGGATGCTCCAAAGGTTCTCAATTGGATTGAGGTCAGGGGAGGATGGAGGCCACACCATAACTTTCTCTCCTTTTATCCCCATAGCAGCCATTGATGCAGAGGTATTCTTTGCAGCATGAGATGGTGCATTGTCATGCATGAAGATGATTTTATTACGGAAAGCATAGTTCTTCCTTCTGTACCAGGGAAGAAAGTGGTCAGTCAGAAACTCCACATACTTTGCAGAGGTCATCTTTACACCTTCGGGGACTCTAAAAGGGCTGACCAGCTCCATGATTCCGGCCCAAAATATGACTCCACCACCGCCTTGCTGACGTCGCAGCCTTGTTGGAACAGGGTGGCCGTCCACCAACCATCCACTACTCCATCCATCTGGACCATCCAGGGTTGCACGGCACTCATCAGTGAACAGGACTGTTTGAAAATTAGTCTTCAGGTATTTTTCTGCCCAATGTTAGTGGTGGCCGAATAGAAGGTTTATGCACAGTTGCAAGACTATGGAGGACTCTACATAGTTACATAGTTACATAGCTGAAAAGAGACTTGCGTCCATCAAGTTCAGCCTTCCTCACATTTGTTTTTTGCTGTTGATCCAAAAGAAGGCAAAAAAAACCAGTTTGAAGCACAATTTTGCAACAAGCTAGGAAAAAAATTCCTTCTTGACCCCAGAATGGCAGTCAGATTTATCCTTGGATCAAGCAGTTATTACCCTACATCTAGGGTAGATGTAGGGTAGCAGTTATTACCCGACTCTACACCTTGATGTCTGTGGGACTCCAGAGGCACCAGCAGCTCCAAATATCTGTTTGCTGCTATGTAATGGTATTTTAGCAGCTGCTCTCTTGATCTGATGCATGGATCTGGCAGAAATCTTCCTCAATGTGCCTTTATCTGCACAAACCTGTCTGTGCTCTGAATGAATCAGCCACAAATATCTTAATAGTGATTGATGATTACGCTTAAGTTTTCGTGAAATATCTAATGTTTTCATACCTCGTCCAAGGCATTGAACTATTTCACTCTTTTCGGCAGCAGAGAGATTCCTTTTCTTCCCCATATTGTATGAAAATGGTGCGCTGCTTAATAATGTGGAACACCCTTCTTTATTAGTTTTTCCTTAAATTGGGCTCACCTGGCAATCTAATTATCACAAGTGTCAGAGATTGTTTTTAGTGATCAAAAGAGCCCTGAGACACAATGCCATCCATGAGTTAAACTGAAAAACAAATTATTTAATCTTTGGGACACTTAAATAGAATTTGCATAATAATTTGGAACAGGGTATAGTTAAAATTAGCCTTTGAACGCATTATGGTTAGCTTAAAGGAGTATGTTGGCTGCTATCTGTTGCAACAATCTATGTTTCTACAGAACTGTTATAGATGTATCTTTTAATACAAAAGTAAAATCCAATTGAATTTACACCTTTCTGATTGCTGATTTCTAACTTATTGTTGCAGCTCTCATTTACACAAAAAAAAAAATCACAAAAATAATGTATGTTAAAAAAAAATGAGTAAACGCATATAAGTATTGTACTCTTCTTGGGTCCAATGAAAGTCATTTGGAGCTACTATATAGTAAATGGTTCAGAATCCAGAGAGAAACAGTCCAAATTTGATAGAGAGAGAAAAGAAAGCTTCCAATTGCGCAGTATATCCTTCTTAGATATTATGTATCCCAGATTTCCAGGGTAATATGTGGAATGGATATACTGCACAATTTGAAGCTTTATCTTTTCTCTTTATAGATGTTAACTGGTCCTCTCTGAATATTGAACAACTATTTATTATATAGTGCTTCCAAGAGACTCTATGTTTGTGTTGTGTTTTGTTGGTTTTAAGCAATTAGTGCTGTGTGGTTTTAAAACTAATCGCTGGATTGGAAAGAATTTGTGGTGACTATTATTGGTGACAAAATATTATTTTTATCCTTTAAGTTTTATCTAAGGGCAACTTTCTAAACACGTTGCACCTATTGATCATTCTCATATACTTATTAAGCTGTTAAAGGGGCTACTAACAAATCTAACCACAGGGCTCTTCCTCCCTAATAACCCACCCCAGCACTCCCAGCCAATCTGATGTTATCCAAAATGTACACTGATAATATCGATGTGTTACTTCCACGTTATCAATGTGCCTGTGATTGGTCAATTCTAGCTCATATCATACAGTTCCAGGGAACTCTAGACAACCTAGTCACTACAGTGAACAGTTGAGGTTAGGTTGCTTTCAATGGACATTAATTCACGTAAACAGTTTAGTGAACTATTAAGAGTGTAGCTCCATTCGGTTAATTCCCTATCATTCTCATTTCTCCTTATAACGACCCTTTCCTGAGGTCTTCCCTAGTAGTGATTCCCTGCTAGTGTCCCGTTTACATGGTTCAGTTGTCTTCGTAGAACACTTGTTATTTGGTTGGTTTGAAGAGAGGTGGGCAAGCCCTGATATCAAGGGTATTTTGCTACACTTAAGCTGCCCATATATTTATATAACATTCCAAACAAAATGTTTTCCTACTCAAACTGCTTTTCTCAGTGGTAATGAGCAGGTCAGTTTAGCAGTGTTCCCATTTATACACCAATTGTTTTAAGTTTCCATGACGCATATTGTATTGCTGCCATATAAACTAATTTTGTTTTTCTCCTTGCAGTTTCCCTATCGAATTATCAACTGAGTGGGATACTTATCTAGGAAAAATTAGTCTATTCTATAAATTTAGACAGTCATCGGAATAGAAAAATTTTTTTAGTGTACTGGAAAAAACCCGGTATGGAGACGTTCCAACAGGACTTCAAACCAAAACACTTGGAAACATTGTACTCATGGTCTATTTGAGCTATTCCTATTAAAGAAAAACTAATCTATTCTAACGCCTACAGATGAGCAATTGGTCAAAATGTCATTGTTAATTTTGAATTTCCATGAGTTGAAAGACTAATCTCAGGTTTTACTTTAATTTATTAAGCAATCCGAAAAAAGAGATTTTGTTTTAAATGTTTCTAGATAAGAAAAATGATGTGTGTACAAATATAAAATATGAGTTGCTGAAATTCGAATATGCATTTGCACTAAATAGAATGTTTTTAGTTCAATTGAAGTCACCTTGGTCTTAGAAACAGATGAATGTAGGATGTGTCTTTTGTTTGATTTTACCCCACTCAGATTGGCTTCTTAATGTATAAATCTGGCTCGATGATTCGACAAATACTTCTCAACCACCATCTGCTACAGGGCTAGAAATTAGTGGCAGGGAAGTTTGGCTCTAGGGCAATTTAGTTCTGATTTTGTCAGTAGACAGCTGTCTACCTGCCCTTTTCTGTAGCACCTCTGTCAAGGTCAATCTCCCCAGTACGCAAACTAAGAGGCTCAGTAGATACACAAAGCCAGACATATTACTGGTTCTTGGAATGGCCGGACTTAACATGTGAAAGTACAGAGATCAGAACAGAATGGTCAGACGAGCCAAGGTCAGGACAGGAGACGGAAAAAAAAAAACTAAGAACAAAGCCAAGGGTCAAGAATGCCAGAAGGATGGATAACCAGGAAACAAGCCGAACTTAGATACCAGAAAAGACAAACCAACAAAACGCACTCTCAGGCTACAAAAGTCAATGACCGGGCAAGGAAGTGATGAAAGAGGGAGGTATAAATAGGCTAAGTGAGAGCTGATAGGCTAGGGAACCTAATAGGGCAGTAATTAAATAGAGTGCTATTTCAATTGTAAAAAATTGTATTTCCCCTTTAAGAAGCCAGAGAAAAGTAAGACGCACGCCCCCTAGCTTGCAAAAGCATACGTGCTTGCGCGTGATGTCTGCCGGACGCCTGCACACCATGGCAGTGGAGGGACAGGACAGATGGCAGGGCCGGAGCTGCGCGGGTCGAGAGAAGGTATGACAGCCTCCTGGCCATACAATATGAAAATGCATTTTTGTTATGTATTTGTTATCATACCTCTGGTCGTCCTGCTTGACACCCGCTTGTTAGTGAAGAACATTTTGCACCTGAAATATTGTATGCTGCACACTATTTTCTAATATGTGTGATATTAGATTGATATCACTACGGATTTGTACAATTGACTCGGACCAAACAAAATTTACGCAAAGTCATGTACATGTATAATACACTGATCAGCCACAACATTAATACCACTAACACGTGAAGTGAGTAATGTAAGAACTATAGAATATAGTCTGGAGAGAAAACTAGGATAATGAGAAGCAAGCCATGGTCAAGGATAGGAGAAGGTATGATACACAAGAACACAAAGCCAAGGTCAGGGGTGGATTCCAGTAATGATAGTAGTCCAAATTACGGAGACAAGTCAAAACCTACAGAAAAAACTCTGAATACTATGTACATACATTATATATATATATATATATTTATATTGTATGGCTAGGAGACCCTAGCGAAAAGGGCTATTCTTTCAGGTACAATATGTTCTTCACTCACAAGTGGATGTCAAGAGAGCATTAGCAGGGGTGTTCAAGAAACAACTGGAGCTAAGCCCAGTGCAATACTCTGTGAACCCTACACTAACACCAAGGTGGGGTCACCTTTTCTATGTCATCCGGTTGAACTATATACATATGATGCTTTCTCCATTATTTAAATGAAAGCATAGCTGGAAACAAGCACATGCTGCACAGCCAGGAATTCAGTGCAACCATGCTATGCTATCTAGCTAATAGAGAAGTCTGTGGCAAAATTCTGTTCACTCTCCAGACAGTCACCTGGGGAGACATCAACTCTTCCTCCTTTTATAGTCTTGAAGAGTCTTACCCTAGAGCTTTGAAAAGCAGGAAAAAACATAACACTAATATCTCCCCCCCTCCCCCCCCCTCCTACCTGTCAAGATCTGGGGCTAATGTGTCCCACATCTGGGGTTTTAGCCCCTTAAGCCTGCCCCTATGGTATGGAGTCACTGTTGGTGCAGAGGAACTCATGATTCGGTCACAGCCGTTTAACTTGGATGGTAGCATTTTAATGTCATAAAAATAAGACTTCAGAATTGTTTTTAGATATTATTAATCAAGTAAAAACTTGTGCAGATGTTGTATTGGAAGTTAATAAGTGTGTATAGCAGGGGTCCTCAAACTCCGGCCCGCCAGGGTCCTGAAACCTTCCCAAGCATTTAGGGCCACCTGATGGGCTCTATATCTTCAGCGGCCTGGTCAGCGCTGCGGCCGTGCAACAGTCGCAAAGTAGTGCTGGTCGGCCGGTCACTTCCTCTCAGCTCCCTCCGCGTGGGAGGGAAGAAAGAAAGACAGACGAGGACGGGAGAGCCACACCGACTCCCAACAGCCACCCTCCTGCAAAAAAAGTAAGATAATTTGGCTGTTTGTGTGGATGTCATTATGTGTGTGTATGTATGTGTCTGTGTGTTTGTATGTGTGTGTCTGTATGTATCTGTATGTATGTCAGTTTGTGTATGTATGTCTGTGTGTGTATGTGTATGTATATATGTCTGTGTATGTATGTATGTATGTGCCTGTCTGTGTGTTTGTATGTGTGTCAGTATGTATATGTCTGTCCTTATGGATGTGTGTGTCTGCATATGTCTATGTGTCTGTTTCAGTATGTATAGGAATTAGTTCAAATTTGTTTCAAACTATAGTCCAGTCCCCAGCAGAGTCTGAGGGACAGTGAACTGGCCCCCTGTTTAAAATGTTTGAGGACCCCTGTGTATAGTAACAAAATGTTGCATAAACTTCAGATAGGTGGTGATCATAACATATTTTAATATTGTTGGGAAAAAAAACCAAACAATTTTAGCTGTATATCTGCTCAAGGCTCCTGGCGTTAACAAGACACTATGGAACTAGCCATCTTGCTGGTGGACTGCCTACAATTATTTTCTTGTTTTGAGCATTGTCCTTCTCTGTTTTCATCCATGGCTACATGTGGTGAGCATATATTCAAAATAAAGTAAATTTAAAAAAGTAGATTTAATACAGGTTCACTGTCATTGAATAAAAATTATTAAAAGGCCAACATTGCCAAAAAGGAGAGCCATGTTTTTCTGGATTTAGTGAACGTAATCTTGAAAAGATTTTTTTTGTATCCAAATCAACAAGTTCTGTGCACCCTTTCTAAGTGAAGAATTGCTTCAACATGTTCTCCATCTCAACATATCAATCAACCAGAGAACAGTATGGTAATTCTGAACCAGCAAATGTTTTACTTAATAAGTCACGGGTTCTCAAACTCCGGCCCCCCAGATGTTGCTGAACTACAACTCCCATGATTCTCTGGTTATCTATGTAATTCAAAGAATCATGGGAGTTGTAGTTCAGCAACATCTGGGGGGGGCGGAGTTTGAGGACCCCTGTAATAAGTGATTCACTGTACCCCTCTTGACCTCTCTAAACAAGGCACTATACTGATATTTGGTTGGACTGTATATGTTGAAAGAAGTCAGTAAAAAGTCATAAGACTATCCTACCAGTAAGCCAATGTTCTCGACCATCTTTTTGACCATACAATGACTACAGCTGCTCAAAAACAATTTCTAGCTAAAATTATGTTGCATGACAATAGCTATCCTTATGTACATAAAGGAGTGTTATAGACAGCTTCATGATAAAAATGTTTATAAAACCTTAGAAAAAGATCCCATAGAGGAAATAAAGAAATCTTTGTATGAACTTTTGGACAGGGGAAAGGATGATGGCATTCTGAACGAGGACGAATATAAATTTTTACATACTGATTTTCCGAGAATGCCAGTCTTCTATACCCTGCCCAAGGTTCATAAGGATAAAACGAATCCTCCCGGGAGACCTATAGTCTCAGGGATACTTTCGATTTCAGCGAATCTCTCCAAATATGTAGATACATGGTTGCAGGATTTAGTTAAAGTCATACCCTCTTATTTAAAAGATACATTAGATGTTATCAATTTTTTAAATAATATTAAATGGAAGAGTTCATATATATTGGTAACAAGTGATGTATCTTCGTTATACACCTCTATTCCCCATGTACAAGGTTGTCAAGTTATAGAAGAATGCCTTAACAAATCTAAGAAGTTCTCAAATGAACATATAGACTTTTTAATTAAAAGTATTAACTGGATTTTAAATAATAATTATTTTTTATTTAATTCTCATTTTTACTTACAGTGCCAGGGAACTGCTATGGGGACCAGGTTTGCCCCCAGTTACGCGAATTTATATATGTCAGGTTGGGAAGATAAATATATATACGATAGCCCGGAATGGGGGTCAAACCTGGTCTCATACCATAGATATATAGACGATTTAATTTTTATATGGGATGGATATGAAGAAGATCTTAAGGCATTTTTAGAAAGATTAAATAATAATAATTGGGGTATAGTTTTAACTAGTGTTTTTAGTAAGTCTAATATTAATTATTTAGATTTAGAAATATATATAGAAAAGGGTGAGATTAAAACAAAAAATTTTTTTAAAAAAGTAGATGCCAACAATTACGTTCTATATAATAGTGGCCACTATACTCCTTGGCTTAACAATATTCCTAAGGGCCAATTACAAAGAATTAGGAGGAATTGTACAGACAAGGATAAATTTGAGGAACAAGCCAAGACAATTTTAGATAGGTTTAAGCAAAAAAAGTATCCACAACAGATTTTAGAAAAAGCGTATAATGAAACAATAAATTTAGAACCTAATCAGTTATTAAGTAATCATAAGGATGTAGGAAATTCAAACAAAGAAAGTGGAATAATATTACCCTTGGTTTTTGATTTTAATCAAGAGTGCAATAGAATGAAATCAATAGTAAATAAACACTGGCATATTTTAAAGAAAGATAATGAACTCAGCAAAATTATTCCAGAGAAACCTTTTATTACATTTAGAGGAGCACCAAATTTTAAACGTATTTTGACTTTTAATCATCCTAAAAAAGAAATTCCGAAAACTTTTTTAGATAATAATAAAAAAGGATTTTATTCTTGTAATAAGTGTGCAGGATGTAGGTGCAGTAAAAATGCTACTCTGAAGGGGGTTAGTAAATTTAAAAATAGGGAAGATGCAGAGTTTTCTATTGAAAATTTTATTACGTGTTTTAGTAAAAATGTAATTTATTTATTAATATGCCCATGTGGATTACAGTATGTGGGACGGACAATTCGCCCACTACATAAAAGAATATATGAGCATGTAAATAATATTACTAAGGGTTACGATAATCATAGTGTTTCAGCCCATTTTAAAAAATACCACAATAAAGACCCTAGGGGTCTGGCATTCTTAGGTATAGAGATAGTGAAAAAATCATGGAGAGGGGGTAATCATATCATTGACATAGGCAAAAAAGAAATGAAATGGGTCCATAGGCTAAAAACTTTAGAACCTAGGGGGCTCAATATAGAATTTGATTTATTTAATTTTTTAGGTTAATACTGATGTGTTTTTTTAGTATAATTAAATATGTTCCTATTCCTCATAATGTATAATATTTTTCTCTTTTTATATTTAGATTAGGAGGAGGTGCTATATTGTTATGTCATTAGCATGTATTTTTAAATATGTATTTATGTATTTTTAAGCATGTTTCTTTAAATGTGTTTGTTTAAACAATTCTCTTAAGGTAATGATGGTTTTAAGTATGTCTTCTTAAATATGTCTCTTGAAATAAGTTTCTTTGGGAAATTATATGTTTCAATGTTTTTATATATATATGTGTTTAAATAATGCAAGTATTTAAATTATGATGTTTTTCGAATAAAGTAATATTGCTTTTTTTGTGTATATATATGCAATTGATTTGATTGATGCCAGCAACAAAATAACAGACTTTATATGGCAGTCACCTGAATGTACTCATTATGATGGGTATATAAGAACTGTAAGGACATGGATGGGCAGATCTGATGAAGCCGTGAATACGGCGAAACGCGTCATCACGTTAAGTTACGCACCTGACGTCACGCACCCGAGAAAGCTCCTCCCCCTGGAAGTTTGAGGAAACAGACGGCCAACAGACGGCAATTACGGCGGCGAAACCGCAGAGGGACAGGCCGACACCCTTATGCTGTATGCTACCGAAGGCTCTGTAACTGAATACTAAGTGTGGAGGAAGGTGATATATTGGTGCTGTGCTGGGCAATAAAGATTTTGGAATATATTTTTTTCGTCTATGCAGTCCTACATTTGAAGAAGCTGTTAAAGCTAGAGCAGGCTTATTCTGCTCTACTTTTGTGAGTGCAATATTTGGCATTTATTATCCATACTACCATTTTAATACGGTTTCACACTATTGTTTTTTTTTTATGTCTCTTTTCCTTTTTATGTATATTTGGAGTCGAGAGGCCATATGTATGTATAATATTTTATATTGATATTTTACACTTTAAGTGCACTTTGTATCACTTTGCACTTTATCAATTTGTTTGCACTTAGTTGCACTTTATACATTTTTGGGTCTTAAAGACACAGCGCACCTTACTATTTTTAAGTATATTCACTAAAGTGTTTGGAGGAGTTTTACACTTGTTTTTGGTGCAGCTCTTTTTTATATTAACAGGTTGTTCTGTTTTATTCTAGACGATTTTATTACGAGCGCCTACTTTTTACTTGTTTTCTGTGTGTAATAGCTATCCTAAGACTATACTCTGGAATTAGGCTTTTACTCGTGGAGTTAATAATTTATTAGACAATAGAGGGAGATCTCTATTGGAGGTTTCGATATGATGGTGGTATTTTGTCCATGTGAGTTTTTGTATATCCTATCATGTTTACCATCTATATTACTAATATATTTTATAATTATTAATTAAGAAATTATGAAGGGTTAATTAAGCAAAAAAAAAATTATAATTTAATTATTAATTTAATCATTGTTAATGTATTATTACACATTGTATATTATTCCTTTTGTGTTGTATTTGCAATTTAACACTAAAACATTTATATTTAAAAACAAATTGAAGGCTTTTGTTTTCTTTTTGAATCTTTTGGGGGCAGTTGTATAAAAGAGAATTTGATTGACTTAAGTCTTTTTTTTTTTTTTTTTCTCTTTTCTCTCCCTCTCCCTCTCCCTCCCTCCCTCCTGATGATTGGATCCCTGATCTAAACGTTGGCTGTGGAGCTTTTAATTATTTTGTTTTGGGGAGGCAGCAACAAGCAATAGAATTCTATCTAGCCCTGATTTTTAAATGTTTCACAGTTTTTCTGCCATCCTGTTTGTCTTGTTTAATGCTATCTTTGCAAGCCCACATGTTTATATAAGCTGTATAAAAAAGTACTTTAAAGAAGCACTATAGTCTTAGGAATACAAAAGTATTCCTAAGACTATAGTGTCCCTTACCCGCACCCCCTGACGAATAAAGGGTTAAAAACCTTTAAACACTCACCTAGTGCTCAAACATTAGAACTTCCCCATAGGAAAGCATTGAATTCAAGCAAAGCATGAGGATGTCCACCATAAACTCTGTGAAAATCCAGGGAGCGCCTCTAGTGGCTTTCTGGAATACAGCCACTAGTGGTTGTCTTAACCCCGCAATTGCAGTTGCTCTAAAACTGCAATGTTTTACATGGAAGACTTAAGGGGACAGGGACACTGCATCCTGACCACTTCAATGAGATTAAGTGTTCTGGGAGCCTATAGTGTCCCTTTAAATACAGATTTTATATATTTTTCACCAACACGATTAGATAGCAGATTCCACATGGTGCATTAAACATTCTTTGGGTTGTGAAAGTTATAATTCATTCTTAAATGTATTGTTCTTGTAATCTATAGATAATCGTGTTCTAAAGGGTTTTTGATTACGTGATGATGTAGGTGTTACAGGTCACACAATGTATGCATTGGTTAAAGCAGTGAGGTAAATCGTAGATAGGAGTCAAGGGCAGATGTAAATGCATTCCATTATTTCAAGGTTGGTACCCGAAGGCAGACATTGTAGTTGATAAAACCATATATAAATAAAAGGGAGGCCAGTCTTACATATGAAGTACATGTCGTTTGTGAAGGTGTAGGAGTACAGAGGAACACTCAACGTTTGCATGTGAGTAAGATGGATTTAAAACAGCCAAAAAAGAAATTGTCTATATTGTGGTCCTCACCGGGTACAGAATAGCAGATGGGGCTTTATCCTAAAATTATGGAAATAGTCTTTTATATGGAGACATATATCAGTGAGTGTTTTTTCTAATTATTACCAATATCTTTTTTTCAAACCACATATTTAATGCAGTTACTATAGTTAGAGCACTTCACTGCTCCCTCCTTGTGAGTGTTTTTCCTAATTATTACCAATATATATATTTAACAATATTACCGTACATACTTTTCCCTATGGTTTTTCTCTTGCATTGAGCGATCTCATTGGGACATTCTTGAAAGGATATGTGGATTATATTTATGTATGTAGAGTGCTTTATTGATTGGAGCACAAATTGTGGTAGCACTTTATATTTTGCATAAATTACACATAGTAGTGTGTTTTGGCACAGTGCACTTTATTTAGGATTTTAAGTGTACATCACATGTTGCGTAGCCTTGTTTCAGATTTAAATACA